AGGAAAATGGAAATTGAATTACACGGCGGTGTTTACACATCTTGGACTTGCCATCTGGGCAAAATGGTTTGTCTTTTAGGAAAATGGAAATTGAATTACACGGCGGTGTTTACACATCTTGGACTTGCCATCTGGGCAAAATGGTTTGTCTTTTAGGAAAATGGAAGTTGAATTACACACTCCCTTGGCCCGTTTTCTTCCCCAGATCCCACGGACTGGTGTGAGATGAACCAAACACAACATTCAGGGAGCTGTGGAGTCTTGAGCCATGGGACGGGTTGCTCTCTGGAAACAGCATAAAATTAGTGGCATCCTCTGTGACCAAGTCCTCTAATGTCGCTGTAAACCTGGAGCAACACTTTTTGACTTCTAATGGACACTCATGGTTTGGAGTGGAACTTGGCACTAGATTTTTTTTGTTAACTTACTTTATTGTACTATCTACTATTATAAATGAAAAGGTGACAATAAAATAAGGAGCGTTCTCTTCTGTCCTTGGTCATGTTGTGGTCACTAAATTCTGTAGATGGGCTGTATTTTAGTGGGGAAGGTGCACATGCTCTCAGTGTTGGCACTGGGAGCAGCCACCGGGTGTGGGGGGCCTTCTGAAGGGCACAGTGATCCAGGGCCTGGAACGTTCCCAGGATTGGCAGTGAGCCAAAGCTTAAAGAAAAGCCGTGGGGTTTTGTGGTAGTTTTTTCTTTTTCTCTTTTTTTTTTTTTCTTTTTCCTTTCACAGCTACGTTGTGCACCGAGGGTCTGGCACAGGTTGCCCAGAGAGGAGGCTATGGAGTCTCCCTCACTGGAGAGCTCAAGAACCGTCTGGACACAATCCTGCGCAATGTGCTCTAGGATGACCCTGCCTAAACAGGGAGGTTGGACCAGATGACTCACCCTTCCCACCGGACCCATTCTGTGGTTTCTGGATCTGGATGTACAGGCCGTACCGTTTATTATTTTTTACTTACTGGGGGTTGGGGCGGGAGGCGAAGGGGCATGTTTTAGGGAATTTATTCGGAGACGCGTCCCACAGCTCCATTGCTGGGTCTGTCGAGTGCTAACGGCGCTCCAAAGGCCTAACCGACGAACAGCCTGACGAGGGCGGAGAATCCAAACCTCCTCCTCCTCCTCCTCCTCCGCCGGCGCCTCCCGGGCGCGTCACGGCGGGCGCCGGGCGGAGGAAGATGGCGGCGGCCGGGGCTGGCGCGGGGCGGAAGCAGGTGCGGCAGGAGGAGCTGCGGCGCCTCATGCGGGAGAAGCAGCGCCAGAACGCGGGGAAGAAGCGGATCGACTCGCCCTTCGCCAAATATCCTCGGCGCCGGGCTCCCTAGCGCTCGGCTTGGGGGCTGTGGGAGGGAGGGAGGGAGGGAGGGAGGAAGGGAGGCAGGAAAGAAAGAAGAGATAGAGGGAGAGGGAGAGGGAGTCCGCGCCCGCACGCTGCTTCTTCCCTTAACGTGGCCGACACGTACAACAGCCTGGGGCATCTGAGCTGCTCCCTGTGCAACGCGCCCGTGAAGAGCGAGCTGCTGTGGCAGACCCACGTCCTGGGCAAGCAGCACCGGGAGGTGAGCGGGGTTTGCGGAGGGGCGGTGTTGCTGGTGTGCCGCTGGTCCCGGGGGCGCGGGGGATGCGGGTCTCGGCTCGGCGTTGTCTGGGGCTTTGCCATTCGGGAGTACCGGGGCAGCACATGAGAAGGGGGAGGGATTATTGGGGAAAGGTCCCCCCGCCGGAACGGGGGCTTGGGGGTTCGCTGCTCCCGAGGGTTCGCAGTACTGGGGGCAGCGCAGCACCCTCCGGGGTGCGGGAAGAGTGTGAAAACAAGCCTGGTTGGTTCGTCCGCTTTTTGTTTTCTTGAAAGCTGTGCAGGGATTGAAAGGCCAGCGCTTAAAAGGGGGGGTCCTGTGTCTTTCAAGAGGTCTGCCCGTAAGGTGAAGCGGTTCCCACCTAAGCCACAGCTTTTGGCTGTCACTTGTCTGAAGCTCGGACTGTGAAACCCCTCTGGGGGTTGCTCTGGTACCTGTGTGCTGTCAAGTGACAGCTTAGGAAAATATGTTAAGGTTAAGAAAATATGCCTTTGTTTTCTTTGTAATTTAGCAGTAAAGATGAAGAATTTATAAAATGATTCAAGGAGCTTGTAATTTGGATGCAGCCTTAAATCTGGGGGAGGGGGTTTAATCCTTCTAAGTTCTGCTGCTGCTTCTTAGCAGAAACTGGGAGATCGTGCTTAGTTTTACAAGCACCGAGGAAAAGACCAAAAGAACTGAGGGGTTCCTAGTTCATTGCCTGCATTCAGACTAGATGACCATGGTAAGGCACACTGACATGTCTTTAACGTTAGTGCTGTGTTTTAATTTTAAAACACTTAATATCCCAGGACCTTAGAATGAGTCCAGCCCTCCTGCTTTCTCCTCCAGTGCCTTACTGCTGTCAGTGTCACTGATCTTTCCTTTCTTACTCATACAGTTTCCTTTGTGCAGGTGCCTGTCCCCATGTCACATCATTCCAGAGGTTGACAGTCTCTGTTTCAGTGATTCTGTTCTAGAAAGATATTAGCTCACTTTTATAATCTGTTCTAAAAGCACTGTATTTTAAGATGCAATCCAGAAGTTACTGCTAGGAAAGTGTCCTGAATTTTTAATTCTTTACAGAGAGTTGCAGAATTAAAAGGTACAAAGCAGACTGCAACTGGTTCAGCTGCTGGCACATCATCTCATCCTGTCAAGAGAAAAACTGTTGACACCGAAAATACAGAGCTAAAAAGAGTAAAGGGTAAGGAGAGAAAAATACTTATCAAGTACCTGCCAGAATCCAGTCATTTTACATCCTGAATGGTTTTGGTTTATTTTTTGTCCTTTGGAAGTGAGTGTGAATACACATGAATACACAGGACTGTTGAGTTAATGTCAGCCCATTGTGGCTAGAAAAGGAAGAAATCTGTCTTTCTCTGTGAGTTCACTGTCAGGAGAAAACAATGCCTTTGGCAGTTTTCTTCTGGGTTTTTGGTACATCACGGGACTGTGGGCTTGGCCCAAACAGAACCAGTAGCAGTGTAAGCTAAGCAGTAGAAGCACTTGCCCAGAAGTGGTGTTACTCCTTTTCAGTGGGATCAAGCCACTGTTTTACCTCAAACCATGCCTCAAAGTTCTTGCTAAAGGAAAGATAGTTAATTTTTTTTCTCTTGGTGTAGACATGTAAACCCTTGAAATACACCAAAGTGTGCATTTGTGAACTTGCCTCTGTAGTAGGAGTTTGAGGGTTGTTTCTTGTAAAAGCATGAATTTTAAGGAGTGACTCTTGGCTGTTGTACAGGTACAGACGAAAAGCCACATACGTCTACAGCTGGGTAAGTAGATCTTATTACATATGATTTCTTTGTAACTACCAACAGCTGCATTCTCACCCAGTTCTTCCTTGTCACTCTTTCCTAGCCAAGGGTAAAGGTTCAGAGTGTCAGCAGATCCCTGTTTCTGCTCATTTTCTAATGGGGTTGTATATTCCTGAACGTGGCAGCGTCTTCCTCAGTGCAGATGAGAAAATCCTACCTACTCTTAGAGTCCCTGGGAAAACATGAATTCTTTTACTGTCACTATCAGACTTTTAGGGATTAACATGGTGGTATTATACAGTTTGCTAGAATGAATATAACTGGATTATGGCATGCACTCTAATCTTTAATGCTAGCGTACTGCAGAAGAGGTGGTAGTCTGAAATTAAGACAAATTTTGAATGTATAATTAAATGATATTTACAAAAACAGCTAACAAATGTCATCAGTAGATCTTCGTTAAGATGGTTTTTGTCACTTAAAATTCATGTAAGTGCATATCCTGCAGTTGAACTCTAACAAATAAAGCACTGTATTTGACTTCAAGGGAGTGGGTTAAGCACCTTTACTGCCACTAAAAATTTCTGATATGTTTGGACATCTTTGCAGGATTGGTAGATGTCACATGAGACCTGAGGGTCTATTGTACACTTCACAGACTGAATTATTATTATCTTGCATAGATATTATGTACAGTTACCTTGTAGAAGTTTTGAGTTTGTGTGCAAAATTAACACTTGAGAGGTTTGTTGATTTCTGAACTCATCCGTGTGATTAGTTTAAAATATAACATGGAAAATTGTTTGGCTTGGAGGCCTGTAGCTATTCTAAGCAAATCTGGGTTTTCTTACTGCTGAGCCTGTGTGGCTTTTCTAAGCTGCAGTTCTGGGCAGCAGTAGGTACCCAAAATAAGTAGTTGTGTTACATGTAGTTATCAAGGTTTATTGTGAAGTTTGAAATAGTTCTTGTTGTGGGCTCTTTACTAGGCTGCCATCAGACTTTTTTGATGAAGCGGAGCAAGACAGTGCAAATGTACAGCTTTCCAAGGGTCCAGGTCCCAGTTTATTGTCAGGAAATTATGATGATGATGATGATGATGAAGAGGAGGAACAAGAACAATCAAGCAAATCTTCCATTATGCATAAAACTGAAATCCCAGCTCAAGAAGCAATAGCTAATTCTCTGCCTGCAGGTAATGCTGACTGAAATAGTAAGTGATTCAGTAAGGAAAAGCTGTATTTTAACTGATGATGAAGGGTTTTTAATTTATTTTTCTAATTGTTGCCATTAGCTGGTTAGGGTGGGTAATACTGGAATTAGAGGAAGGAGATTCTTTGCTAGTTTGTTATTATGTGGTGGTTTGTCAGCATGATTATTGATTTTATGTTCTAATAGTTTGAGGCTGTCAAGTGAGATAATGCCTGGGTGTTCTTCCCTTGATTCAGTAAGGTGTTAATTGATATTCCTGTCGAGTCAGAATTTTAGAAACTGCTTGAATAGCTCTTCTTTTTGTCATAGATTTCTGTCCTTCCCTATAGACTTCTTTGACAGCAAAACTCCTGCTGCTCCTGTAGTTTCCCATTCAGGATCCATACAGAAAGCAGAGGTACAAGAGAAGATAGTGGAAAGGTAAGCAGTCAAATCAAATATTGATAGTTTTAGGAGTTGTAATTATTCTTACAGAAGTACAGATCATGGTCACTTAGAAATCTGTCATATTGTTAAGCTGCATTCAGAATAGTTTGTATATATGCCACCCTCTGGCATTATTTCCAACAGGTATTTTGCACCTTAGGGACAGAATAAGACGTGGAGGAATGCCATACAGTATCTGTTAGACATCTCTATTTGCAAATTTTAACACAGGGTGCTGTGGAAGCTTAATGTCAGCCACTGCTTATAACTGCTTGTTCTGTAGTAATGGTTCAGCTCACTTGAGCACTTGTAGACAGTGGTTTAGTCTTTCAGAAGTAGTGACTGTGCTGTTAAAATGTTTGGGTGCTCAGCAGAGTGGAAAGAATAGTTAAGAAGCATAAGCTGTAGTGCTTGTTTTCACAGTGAGATTTAAACCCTTTTGTGAATTTCCTTGTCAGTGAGGCAAGACCAAGCTGAAGAAGGAAGTTTTGATGATTATAGGTAAAATTTGGGTCTTAAAAAACGTGGTCCATTTCTAGGTACTTTTATAAAAGATTATGGATTTTATTCTTGACTTTTTAACTCTACAATAAATCAGGTTGTAAACTGTTAACCTGGGCTTATAGTAATCAAATATTTCAGGAAAGAAAACACTGCTGAAGCTTTGCCAGAAGGTTTCTTTGATGATCCTGAAGTGGACGCAAAAGTAAGTGATCTACTCTTTTTATGCTGCAAGATTTATTTCTACCAGTTGTAATCATTTTCTGAGTAGATGCTTCTCCAGATAATCAGTCATACCAGAATAAAAGAAAAAGACTGAACTATTTAGAATACAATAGACTATTTCAGTTGGAAGGGACCTACAGCAACCATCTAGTCCAACTGCCTGACCACTTCAGGGCTGACCAAAAGTTACAGCACGTTATTGAGGGCATTGTCCAAATGCCTCTTGAGCACTGGCAGGCTTGGGGCATGGACACCCTCTCCAGGAAGCCTGTTCCACCCTCACACTTCCTTCGGCTTGCACAGTGCCAAATGACCAAAACAAACATTGATATTTCAAACACCAACCTTTTTGTTTTGTTTTGTTTTGTAAAATTTGCCACAGATTTGATGACTTTCTTGCTTTCTTTATTGAAATAATAGCGCTATAGGCTCAAGTCTTTTTTATTTTCCATGAGTATATTCCCCTGTTCACACTGTGGAAGGCTGCTGTTGTATTTAAATTGCATTGTGAGGTCCAGCCATGACAACTAATTTGGAGACTTTCCAAATAATGCTTCTTTATGTTTAGTCCCATTGTCTCAGCTAACAAGCTTAGGTGTCTTATTTACTCGGACAAGATTCTTTTGGCACCACTCATGCCCACATGTTGCCATATGTGAACAGTTTTTCAATAATGATGTTCTGAGTACTGAAATACGTAGCTGAAAAAGCGACTTCTTTTTTTGCTTGCTTTGGTTTGATTTTCTTGGTTTTGTTTGGTTGGTTTTGGGGTTTTGTTGGGTTTTTTTTGGGGGGGAAGGGTGTTTTTCATTTTCTGTTTGTTTTCTTCGCGTATGACTAACTGAAGTGTTAAATTTCTCAAATACTTAGTTTCATCATGAGTGGGGAAGCTTGTACAAAGCTGGGAATACCTAGCAGGCAGAGGAGAATCTGCTTATATCTGTGAGGACACTGGTTAGTGATCTTTGTTCTGGTTATTGCCTCAACTGATAAAATTTACAAGCAGTTACTTGTTCCAACAAGCTCTTCCTGGAACTGGTGCAGATGCTCTTCCTTTTAATGAGCTCTTTCTGAGTGTAGCTAATACTCAGACAAAGGACATCACTTAAATTGAGATGGCTGCAGTGGTCCTGTTTTGGAATCCTAACATAAAATAATTATTTTAAAAATTATCTGAGCATTTGGAAGGGAGATTGTGGGCATCAAAAATGTTTGTTATTTACATCGGGTATTTGTAAAGTGTATAAATTCTAGATTAGATAAATATTTCAAGAAAAAATAACTTTAGTGTTTAAATTTATTGTAAGAAATACAAATAATTATGAATTACAAAAGACAACCACAATGCATAATAACACAGTACATACACATATGATAGAAATAATCACAGAACAGAAAAATGAAATGATGACTATTACTTCCCAGTATGAGTTTGCTTGGAAGCTTCTAATTTATTCTATAAACTTAATTCATACTACTAGATTTTGTATAATTACTCAGGAACAAAATGTACCAAACTGTTTTCTTTACCGTGGTGATGACTGATGTGTCACCAAAAGAGCAGAACAAATAAAGGAAAAATAAAACTAATGCAAAAAGATGGTGTCATGAATTACTGTGTTCAAACTGCTTAGTTCTCCAAGCTATATGATTTCTACCCAGTCCTGAGTCAGGCATAATCTGTCATCTAACGTGTTATATGCCACATCTTCCAGTCTTGAGTTGTGAAAGTTCCGATAACACAGGTAGATTATCTTGTTTATTTATTGGCATTAAAAGCACAATCTGGTTTTGATTACCTTAGTTGTAGATCTTAAACACGTTCTTACAGCTACTGCTTTTTTAGACTTCATGTCTTAGTAACTAATGCCATCTACCACAGAATAAAAAGCTTTACGTGCCACTAAAATTGGTTTGTAGCTGTACATTGTCTTCTGTTAGCCAACAAAATTAGACTAGATTTGAAATACAGTCAGACTATCTAACAATAACAGCGACTGAAAAAGCTGATGTTCTATGTTATGCCAAAGACAAACAATTTACTGCTTTTTGGCTTGTGAAATGGCTACTGTATGCAATTGAACAGGCAGTTTACAGAAGAATTTAGAAGTTATCACCTGACACGGAGAAATTCTAGTCCATCAAATTAACAGACTTAGTCACTTTTGTTACTCCAGATGTTCCACACCAGCCATGCTTGATTATTTTTTAATGCTACAGTCACTGATGTTGTTTTAATCCAGGAGTCAGATTTTTCCTCCAAAACCATTGTGCAGGTGCACTCTCTTACTCATATGCATTACTTAAAGTGAAGTACATCGACCAGACTTTTCTGATAGCATAATTTTTCCCGTTTCTCCTGATATTATACAGTGCCCCAAGGAGTCACTAGACATAAATTGTTAACTTACAAATTTTCGTGTTCCTTAGGTGAGAAAAGTTGATGCTCCAAAGGATCAGATGGACAAAGAATGGGATGAATTTCAAAAGGCAATGCGACAGGTCAACACAGTAAGTAATGGAATCTATTTTTATTGATTCTAAATACTATACACAATAAAGAAAACAACAGTTTCATGCAGCTCTGCAGAATGACTGACATCTGCATTTGTCAGCTGTTTGTTTCAATGCAATGTGTGGTTAAATGCACTGTATAAATGAGCAAAGGGTTCCTTCTATTTTCCACTTAAAGGAAATTAAGTTGAAAAACCTTTGATCAGGATCCAGTCATCAGTGTGTATCTAGTTACATTTGTTAAACTGTATTTTATTTAAATACTATTTAGATAACATATACCTCAGATCAGTGTCCTGTATCCAAACAGGACATGATTGTGGACTCTTCTTTAGATCTAGAGATATATGTATATTTTAACCTTTAAAAACACAGAACAAAACACACCCATTTGTCTGCCTTTTTCAAAATGTATCTATAAAGTGTAGGTAACCTGGGTTTCATGGTTAATTTAAATGTACTGGAAAGGAACCCCAAAATTTGGGAAAGTGACAAAGGAGTTTGTGTGTGAGACACATGAATTGGCCACAGTTTTTCTGTACTTCCATTTTTTACTATTTAGCATTGCATGGAAAGTCTTCCTGCAGCAGGTTTTCATCTGTCCTTTTGTACAATATAAAACTGTACTAAAGAATACCTGGTGTTCTCAGTCTTCCCCTAGAACATTTGCTTTTTTTTTAAATTATTTTAATTGTAAATAATTACTCATCTGTCAACTGCTAAGAAAAGTGATGCAGAAAAATTTATCATTGCTCATTTTAAAGCCGTCAGCACTATAAACAGAGCGAATGTTCATACAAAAGCAGTGGTGGATACATTTTGCTAGCATAAGCCATTCAGATATTCTTCAGCTTAGGAGGAATCTTCTCAGTTATGCGTGGACCATTGATTGCATAGCATCTCCCAGACATTCAGATTTGAGAAAGTATATGCTGAAAAAAATAACAGGTTAGAAACACTTCGGGATCTGGCGGGAATATTTAAGTGATATGTTCAATAAGTGTGTGTAATTAAGTCCCAAGCACTGGGATATAGCTCCTGTTTCAACCTCAGACTTTGGATGTGTGTAGTTTGTTTTATGCTCAGTTTCAAATTGCAGTGTATTGAAAAAAATCAAAAGATTAACCCCAAAGCAGCCAATCTACTTTTGCTTTTATGAAAAAAACATTTCCATTTCATATCAAACCATACCATTTTTTTTCTGTATTTGCCCTTGTGAAAGTGGGAATATACATATAGGAGATTGACACTAACTCGAGATAGGAGGGAGGAGGGAAAGACAGACATCATAAAGGAACGAAAGTGGAATTCAGGATGAAGGTGAATTTTCTTGGTGCTTTTCTGGTTTAGATTTCAGAAGCAATAGTGGCAGAAGATGATGAGGAGGGACGACTAGATCGCCAGATTGGAGAAATTGATGAGCAGATGTAAGTAGATCAATTTTTCCTCAAACTCTCTGTTCTCCAGCAGTAATGGACTGCTTCTTGACTGGAGTGATAAAAACATTTTTAATCTGTGATACTACCTTTCATTAATCACCTGAATATTTGAAGGACAGACTCCCTCAAAGTGCAGAATTATACCTAATAAAGACGTGAGTTCTGGTGCAAAGTTATGTAACTTTCTCCAAAGAAAAAACACACGTGAATCACTGAAAGTACAGAAGGCAAATTCTTGGAACAAACTGTCCCCCCTTCCCTTGTCAAATGTCTTAATTTGTATTTCTCTGGTATTTCTGTGCACATTTTCAAAAAGCATTTGCTGTACTGAAATGTTCTATTCTGTGACCAATTCTGCTTGTTTCTAGTAAAAGCTTACTTAAAGTTTATGTTGAACAATGAAGTGAAGTGGTTTAATGAAGTGGTTTGTTTTGTTCATTTAATGAAGTGGTTTGTTTTGTTTTGCTGAAATGGTAGATGTGGCGGTTGGATAAGCATTAGTTTAAACTCAAGTAACCTGAAATACAGCTTTGTAGAACAGTTTGTTACCATTATCATGTAGCTTAACACATTGATTAATAGTGATAATGGCAGTAGTAGCGACTGAAAAGATGAATTCTGATTTTGATGAACCTTGCAACAAAAAGAAGACACAAAAAATTAAAGCAACACTTAAGACATCTGAGCAGATTTACACGCTACACATCAGCGTATAATAACAATAGCATTGGGTTCAAACTGAGCTTTGGTATTACAGGAATGTCTTTTAACAGTGTTCATCTAATTCTGCAGAGGGCTGGGGAGAGCTAAACCTGCCTCTCTGAGGATTCACTTTTCTCAGTAGCTAAGGATGCTATAATACACAGAACCAAATTCAGAAATTTGTAGAGAATTTCAAGTTTGTTACTGAAATTAATTTTCCCCAAAATAAAAGTTACAAATAGATTTTTAGAGTTTTTGTAGCTTTGTCTTTTGACTGTATTTAAATGCAGGCTATTTCAAATTAAACTGAAAATCAAATTAATTCCAGAGACATTAATGTTTTCCTTAGCCTTCAAAGTTTCAGCTATGACTCCCTGTAAGTAATTGTATTTGAGATATACAAGGGGAAACAGGATCTGGATTGTAATCTTTCCCTGGTGCCTTTGCTTAGCAAAGATGTATTTAAATCAGGCAGGTACTAGTTGGCATTTTCAACAAAATACAGTGTTTAAAATGGCTAGAATAATTGTTACAGAACATATTTCAAGGACAGAACTTTTTAAGTAAATGGAAAACTGAAACTTTTGGATTATGTTTACTTAAAATGTTCTGCTATAGCACATAGGAAGCAGATAAAGAATCTGAACACTTGTGCTGCTTTTTTATTTTCAGAGATGCCACTTCTAAGTTATCAAAATTGATAACCAATTGATGTCTCACCTTTCTATCGCATATGAAAACCATAGGTTGAGGAAAGAATGGTGTATCTTCTTGTGTGGAAGTAAATATTGGTTCTGTGCTCTTTAAAAAATGATTTGTGGTGGTACTGCAGTTGTTAAAATATTTGGATTTGATCTCATTGCTAGAGATTGCCCACACCGCTCCTCTCCTCTGGTCTCTTTCCACCTGATTAACACAGAGAAGGTGCAGTAGCATCTTGAAAGCTTATTTTTTTAATGGATTGGAAGCTGTAAAGCTTCTTTATCCAAAGCTGGAGAAGCAAAATCCAGCACTGTGGGTGATCAAATTAATGTGAAGAAGCCATAAGTGTTAATAGGTGGTTTACTTTTCAACAGTGAATGTTATCGCCGTGTCGAGCTTCTGCGTAACCGCCAAGACGAGATGAAGGAGAAGCTAAAGGAAGCCATGAGATTAAGAGCAACACAAGAGAAAGAGGATGAGGATATTGGTAGTGAAGATGAAGAAGAACTGCAGGATTTGCTGTCTCAAGACTGGCGGGTGAAAGGGGCATTGTTGTAGCATTTCTGCAACATGGTTGATACTCTTTTTATCTGTAATGTTACTTCCATTATTAGAAGTGAGACACTTTTGTTAATTATTTATTTAAAGAGGATTGTGAGATGGTAAAGAGCCAAGTGTTTTAAGAAAAAAAATCTTTGTAGATCTAAATGGTGTATTACTTGTTGTAGAAACTGTACACTGCAAATGTTTTACAATATTGAATGCACCTTTCCTATTAAAATGATTGGTTTCTTACCAGAAGTATTTTAGTGGGATTAATAAGTCTATAAAGAATCTCTGAGGTTTTGGAAGCATTAACTATATTTGGTAATTTTGAGACTTGGCTTATTGTGTATAGAAATCAAGGATTTGAATAGTCTATGGAGTTTTTCCAGACTGGGGGGTTAGGGAAAGGAAAATATTATACATTTATGTTTTCTTAAAATTTTAAGTGCTCCTCTGTCCATTGCCCCAGCTTCCAATAAAATATGTACATTTTTTTTCAGGATCTGTTACAGTTTCTCTGTGTATATAAGGACTAGCTCAGAAATGCTGAGTTACAGCTTCTCCACAGTGTATACTCTGTGATGTGCCATAGGCAGTGCTGAATATTTTTCTTTATAGTATCCTGTTTTGCTTAGTGCAGCCATCATGTAGCATACCTCACACTTCTTGAACCAGAGGGATAAGAATACAGTAGTTACATATCTGCATAACTAAATGAACGGGTGACAAAGTGCCGGAGAGGAAGGTACTGCACTGGACACTGAGAAGGTAAAATAATTTCTCTAGCTGTAAATATTTCTTTAAATATTATCTTAGGCACTGAGAGCATCTAAAATTAATTTCTGTTCTGATAAACACAGATTAAGTAAAATGAAGAACCAACAAATTTGATGAGACTGGGACATGAAAAGCAGACCTACCTTAAGCATGGGTAAGTGTCTCTTTTTTATTTTTTTAATGAAGCAAATTTAAAACATTTCAAATTTGCTGAGCACTTGGAAAAAATAGGAGATGTGTGGCTTGATTTATATCAAAAAGTAAAGTTGTGAAGGAGCAGTTTAACATTTTCCTTTTAAGATTCTACTTTCAAAGCTAGATTTTAAAGGGAGAAAACAAGCTTTATTCTTATGAGGGCATTCTCATTACTTGTCTCAGAGATGTTTATGAACCAAGCAATAAAGATTAAAACTAAAGTTAGATATTTGATTTGCCTGTTTTGGAAGAATGATTTGATACGGTGGGAGCCCTTTCTGTATAGTGATAGAGATGCTTTTTTATCACTCTCGATTTCCATGATGCTTGGGTTCAGCTCTTTATATTTATAAAGCTGTCAAAATTCAAGCAATGGTCCTTAGCAGTTTATTGCATCCATTTATTCCTGCTCACATGTGCTGGATTACAGCCATTGGGTCTTGGTTGATTTAATAACCATAAATGTAAGTAGCTGTTGCTGCTAAAATGTTTGATGAAACACTGCAGTCTTACATGAATTAGTACTGTCATTAAAATAGCAGTATTCAGAGAGTACTGAAATAGAGAATAAGCATTCAGAGAATATCAAAATAAATAAGAATGTTTGGACAAGCTGGAGAAGACTTAGTTGGACCAAAACTGAAATACAATTTCCTTTTATAGCGTGAAACACTTGAATATTGATGTCTAAGGTGCCTGGCACGCTGCAGTGAAAGATCTCTAGATCCATTTATCACTGTAAAGAGAACTTTGAGCTGAGAGAGTGCTACAGTCTTAAGAGATGGACAGTCTTTTTCAAAACAAAATGACAGACCCCCACTTTCCCTCTGACAAGAGCTAAGCTCAGTTTCTAACTGTTCTATTTATATTTGCTTTTCACTGACCCCACTCACAAAAGCATCCTAGCTTGTTAACACTGAACTTTAGAACCACTCTGCCTTTGGCTTAACATCAGAGAAACAGGATGTGATTAATGTCAGGTTACACTGAGCATCATGAACATACATGTTTTGACAGTATAAAAATGTTAATCTCTGAGTTTATAACTGACATCTCTTTTTTTGTACATTTTTCTGTAATTTTACTTTCATCTTGTACATGAACCTGCAAATCATGGTTTCAGCTGCAGATGAACAGGAAATGAACTGAGCATTAAAACAGTTCAGCTGTTTTAGTTCAGTTGCCCTCATCTTCAGGGGTATCTTGTGGTAACAAGCTAAAGGCAGGGAGTTTAGTTACAGAGCATGGAGCTTGTACACTGAAATCCAAACCAGTGCAGCCCATTGTTATTATTAGGAAGAGATGGCAGGAATAAACACCAGATCACTCATCATTCTATTCATTATCCTTGCACAACTTGTTGAAAGAGTAAAGACAATGGACTGGCCAGTGCGTGTATGCATTGCTGGGGAAGTGACAGCATTGGTCCCTCTTGGTTGCTTCTTGTTTAGGGGAGGAATCTCAGAGATCTACAAATAATGTTGTATCCAAGTTTTACCCATCTTACTGCTGTGTACTGTACATTTCTTCAGCATGTGGAACAAAGCTTTTAGAGAGCTTTGTGAAGATGGTGGGAGTAGTGACTTTGCCCTTTGTGACCACTGATGTACGTGTGCTGTTATGTCAAGAAGGCAAGAAATCATCCAGCAACGGAAGTAGCATGGCTATAAGGGAGAAGAGGGATATAGCCTAACCTTACTCAGTAGTCAAGCTAATTTATCAAGGTAAATAATCTCCTGTGTCTTAGAAAAACATAGGCATAATTAGTTTACAATCTAAATATATCTTCAGCTTTAGAAAACAATTTTATGTACTTCTGATGAGCTGTTGAGCTAGATTGATTATTAATCAGAGAAAATAATTGTTTTAAAAATGTGTACTTCCTTAATTTCTCTCATTTCTTAACTTTTTTGAATTCTATTTTTAAACAATAAAGATTAAAGTAGTCCTAATAACTAGCTTTGTCCATAGCCACTATTAAAAATGAAATTTTAATTGGAATTGAGAAGACTATTTTAATTCTCTGATCTCCAGGACTTCCAGAAAACTGAAGAATCAGAATTAAGGGGGAAGGCGCTTAACATTTGTAATCCTCGTTGACTGATAATAATAATGGAGACTGTTGTCCAAACTTAAGAACTGTGGAATTTCATGCCACCAAAAAGTAGCTGAGGTTCCCCTGCTCAGTGGTTGTGAAACTGTTTAAGTGCCTTGCAGGGCCAAGGATGTATGTGCCTGTAGGTGCACGAATGTTTGAAATGGAGTTCCAAGTAGCAGCTCTGCAGGCGCAGCAACCACAGCTACAGCTGCCAGCTGCTCATGGTCAGCTCTTCTCTGGCAGGTGAGTGCAGTCAGTCACAAATGGTAATCGGTGTGCTACCTTCTCTCTTGCCCTGGAAGAAATAAGCTGCTCCTGCTGTCATGACTTAAAAGCAGATGTGGAAAAAGGTCTGTATTTGGAAAACAGATTGTGGAAAAAGGCCAGAAGCAACCGTGCAAAAACAACCAAACCCAAATAACAACAAACCAAACAACGTTCTCATTTGCTAACATGATTGTTATTCCTCTACCACAGAATTTAATTTAAAAATTTGCTTCAGAATTGCAAATACTGATTAAAAAGAACACTAACATTAGCTTTTGCCAGGCCACCTGCCAATAATTTCAATTTGAGGAGAGACAGATTTTGCTTATTTCATACCACTATAATTAGATTCTCTGCATTTTATCATCTTTAAAACAGGGAGCTAGAAATAACTCTAATGAGAAGTAATATTCAAATATTTTCAAATATTTCAATATTTTCCGAATTTTTTTTTTTATAATTCAGAAAGCTTGCACTAGAAAATCAGACATTCAGCCTGTAGGAATCATGTTGTTGCCATTAGAAACCTTAATGTGAGTATATAATGTTAAAGAAATTCCCTTTTGTTAGGTAGCATCAAATGAATTTGACACTTCTCTTTCATTTCAGTTACTGTCTTAAGATACATGCCAGTCTGTAGAGTGACAGGACACATGCATCCAGGACACAGGACAGATGCAGACACTGCTTTAATCAACATTCCTGCATTCCTTCATAGAACGAGTGAATGGATCAAGTACACTGCAGTGCCAGGAAGGGCGGTGTGTACTAGAAAGTATTGCTCAGGGCAAGAGTTGGAAATTTCAAGTGTGAAGCAGTTTTTCAGTATCTGCCTTCAACTGATCTTCTGTTCATCACTTCAGTTACAACTATCCTGGCCTGATAGCTAAGAAAAGAAATGCGAGCATTTCCTTTGTGCAGACATCTAAACCAGGTCTTCCAAAAATACAGTGGAGGAACAAATGCCTTGCACAATTGGTGGCTACAGCAGTTACGGAGGATACAAGAGATCTCTGTTCAAATCCCTCCTTTCAATGCTGTCCTTTGAACGGCCACTTTGTGTGACCTAGTTGAGCAGTCTAACAATTCCAGTCTTTTCTGTAGAAGCTGTGCCCCTGTAAAAGGACCGAATTAGTGAGTATATGTGACTTTCTTGTTAGATAATCATGGCACTCAGCCAAGAAGGGGAAGGTCCTGTTCCAAGTACATAAATAGTGCTGAAATACGTTCAGCTGATATTGAGGCTGTGGAATAAACTGGATTTGGATCTTTCCCATCTGAGAGAAACACTGTTTTTTCATGCTGTTGGGTATTTAAAAATGAAAGGAACGGTACGGTAGTGTTTCCATTTCTGCCTGGTTTGGGTGGGAAAGGGGTCAGCACACGCTTTAACACTTCCTTGTGAAACCTGACAAACACCACCTTGTCCATGCAAGCCTTCTGAGGCTGAGGCCCTTACCAGGTGCCTGCATTGATGACACCAGTGGGATTTATGCTGTTAGCTTCCTAGGAGCTTTGACTGGCACAGATATGAACCTTGGGGCCCACAGATGCCCTCTGGCTATGCCTGAGAACACAAAGCACTCTGCATATTAACAATGGACTAACTTTGTTTGTTTTCCTTCTGGTTGACTGTTCCAGCCAGCATTCATAATTTCAATTTTTTTCACTCGAGAAACACAACAGAGCTGCTTGAATTCATTTGAGATGTTTCCAGAAACCTAACAGCTATTTGATGATGCGGAAGCTGCAGAACTTGTGCTGTCTTTCATCTGGAAACTCACAATTGTGTGGGCAGTGACCTTTTCACATTGGGTACATGCTTCCTCTTCTCTACCTTTGGCATGAGTGGTTTAGATTTTTGCCTTGGGTAGTACTATTTTTTGCATTTTTTCCCCCCCTCCAGACAAACCTAGTGTTTTGTTTGCCCGGTTTATATATTAAAGCTATTCAGGAGCTTTTTCTTGCCATTCAGAAATATTTTCCAACTAAAATAATGAAATTAAAATGAGCCTAGAGTTTATCACACTTGTGCCTGTATTATTTTTGCAAAAACCCTCTCAAAAGACTTCTTTTTCTTCCTTTGTCCTTTTATGTCTCCTCATTCCATACACAAACGTGTCCCTACACTAGTTCATTTAAATCTCGGTCTTTTCTAGCCAATTCTGCATGGCATACGTGAATTATTAATGTGAAAGATACTATACAACACAGAGCTGCTGCTGCTGCCCTTTGCCTGGCAGCTCTACTGGGAGAGCAAAGTCTTGACCTACTTAGTGTTGAGCTGCAATAATTTTTTTTTTTCGTTTACATTAGCCAGGCTAGCCATAGAAATAGCTTTTGCTGTTGCGGAAATGAAGACTATGGAGGTCTCTGCTGTAAAAGCAGCTTCAGCTCTCCTTTCAAGAGTACGAATTTAAATATATTCTAACTAATATAAATATTTTTTAAGTAATAATAACAACAGAATTTTATCAAGGTTAGTACTACGGCCTATAGTTCTTTTAACCTAAGGGTTGAAATAGCTAATTGTCAACATTGGGTAAGGCTTCCTTTATGCTGGGATGCAAAGAGCTCTTCTGTAATCTTCCTTGGCAGCCTTCGTTGTCAAGAATTGCTCTGTGGCTGCATCTGCATTGGAAAAGTTGTTGACTTCTACAGAGATCTGCAAGTCTGTATACACATCTTGGTCATACAGTACCAGGCTCAGACTCAAGATCCAGACACTTTAGAGCTGTCTGTATCCTGCAGACCGTGTAAAATAATATGGCTCACAAGTTCAGCTGGGGCAGGGAAGGGAAGTGGGACCCCAAATTAAATTCCCAGAAGCAAGTAGAGACCTTAATAGATGAAGGTTGTAGAATCAGGCTCATGTCATTAAGGATGCTACTCACTTGCACTGCCAGAAAACTCTGCTTTTCTCATGAAGACAGAGCAAGCAGTAAATGTGGAAGTACTGCCCGTGCCCTAAGAGGAGAGGTGGCCAGAGCGTGCAGCCAGAGATGCTGGATCGCAACAGCAGCTCAGGGCCAGCACCTTTCTTTTGCCTGTGTGTGAAGAGAGAATTTGAGGCTGTGACTGCAGTGCTTCAGCAGATCTAAAGGAGAACCTGAACTGCTCAAGCAGAGTATCAGGGCAGAATGAGACAGTCCCCTGGCCTCCTCAGCTCTCCATTCTCCCTCTTCTAATGCAAATTGCCATGCTCCTCCCAGCTGCTGGGCTAGTTTCCTGGCAGAATGGAAGGTGCTGTCTAGAAGCCTCACTCAACAGTGCTGCTGGGAATGGGAAAGAACGAAGGGTCTTAGCAATGCTGTACTAGTACCCAAGTTCATTCTTTTGTTCTTGTTTTTCTTTCCCCAGTATCTGATCTATAAACCGGTTTGGGAAAACATTGGAGATACAAACCAGTGGCTGCTTGTAACAAGAAGACAAATTTGTCTTTTCTGTTCACTGTGTGAGGTTCTTAAAGAGCAACTTTGTTAAACACCAAATAAAGTTTTAGAGAAATATTGCTTACTCTACTAATTACACAATCTGGCTCCATCTACTCCTGAAAAGCCTCATCATCCCTGACAACGGGCTAACATCCTTTCTAACATTGCCTGTTTTGCACAGGTGTTACACTCTTTCCCAATGAGCAGTGGGACCTTAAGCGTGATGATATGAACGTTTAATCATTAATGAAAACAAGCGATTTGTCTGTGATCTTAGTTTGACAATTCATAAAATAGTGCTTCTTAAATGACAAATTAGCAACTCGATTACAAAGAACAAAATTTAAACAACACAACAGTTGTATGCACAAAGCTACCACGTCTTTTTTTTTTTTTAATCAGGAAAAAAATTTATTTATAAAAACGTCTCATTTAATTTACTGTCAAGTCTCTAGCTGAATACAGTGGCTTAGAACACTAACGGCCCATGCTTTTATACAGATTAGCCAAAGCATGAACATCAATAAAAATTAACCCCCGAAAATAACTTGTCTTTGCTTTATGTTATGAGCCACAACAGAGTTAAAACTGGAACAGTAATGAAAGCAACACAAGAGTTAGGAAGCACAGTTGCTTAAAGAGTAAAGAAGTATTTTCTTTTGATGTCTCAGAATAATAAGAAAGTTAGAAATGGCAGAAACTCCTCTGTAGATTAGTCCATAGAAAGCATTGTCTCATGGGGCTTTGGAAAAGTCCTGTCTGGTGGCTAATGCACTAGGGCATGAAGAGATACATTAGAGAGCCCCCAAGCCAGTAACTTCTGAAGACAGCCTAAAATGTAGGAACAAAAATGAGGAAAATAAAAAAAAAAAAAAAAACAAAAAGGCAAAAAAAAAAAAGAAAAAAATCTTCTCACTATTAAAAAAATACCACTTGAGTACAACCAGCATAGAACAGCATTTCAGTGCAGGCAAGTTTTCTGACGCAGGTTGGTGATTTGTTTTTTCTTTTCTTAAATGTCAATTACTGAAACAGTTACAATAGCCCAGAACAGTTTTACAGCAGTTTTCTAGAGCTTTTGAATAGTTGTGGTACCTTGAAATTATTTCCAGTTTTTCCTTCATTATATACAATCAAAAAAAAAAATACAACTGAAAAAAGGCCCAAAACAAACAAACAAAAAACCAAAACAAAAAACTCCCAACAAAAGCAACCAAAAACCCCATTTGGATAAATGCAAACTGTAACAATGGCAGGTCTACAAATGATTACAGTGACAAAACTTAGTGCAAAGGTGCTAAGGTGAAGAAAAGCCCACAGAATACAGAAATGACACAAAATACTGAGATAGTACTTAGCCCTATACAATAACACACTTTGAAATACCATGTTTTAAAAAGTATTGCATTTGCATTGTGTTTTTAGTTTATATTAAAATGCACTGAATACAGTTCAATTGTTAAAGCTTTGTGTCCAAGGAGTGCAAAGTGGATGAACATGGCAGGCTAATGGGATTCTGGATTTGGAAGTGGTGAGGAAAACAATATTGCATTACTGAGTTATGCAACAGAAATTAAAAGGAAGGTGGATGGACAAACAGAAAATGCGGTTAAGAACTAGTTCCAACAGCTAGCAACCAGCCACTCCATCCCCCAGCTCTCTTGGCTTTGGTTGCAATTAGGTGTCTGTAATCAGAACATCCTTAAGTTCTTGTTAAAGGGATGGTATCTGTCCAAGCAGCAACTTCTGAATGACCTTTGATAAGTGCTACATCATTTTCATGACTACAATACAACCTGACTGCATTACTGGCGGTGAGTTAGACAGGGATGTCTTTTGTACAGAAACCTAACAAAAAAAAAAAAGGTCATTTTGGCTGAATAAAATATACATGGGAGGAGGTACCAGAATAGTGACTGCATATCTGATTTGCACCTGCTTTTAAGTACTTAAAGAAATAAGTGCTTTGTCAGTATATATAAAACATCTGACCGCAAAACAAAGAGCCTGCTCTCCCTCCCACTCTCCCTTCCTAAAGCAGAGTTCTTAAAAATATGTTTTTCCAAAGCAGAGAAAAATTGTCGCACCCTTTAAAAGAATGGCACAGGTGCCCGATATTTTTTTCCTTGTTGTTTTCCAATCATTTTAATTTAGCAGTTTTTGTCAGACCAGAAAGCTTCATCTGTACTTTTTTTTTTTTGTATGCAGAAGTACCTGACGTTTGTACTTTGTAGCCTCCCTTTCCTGCTCGCAGGCAGGTCTCAGGGCAGGGGGACAGGGATTTTCAGGCCTACTGGGAGCAGAAGTACGATTGAGGGGGCCAACAGCACTTCATCTGGGATTTCAGGGGTGCTAGTGATCATCACAAGTGCCAGATTTGCGGTCCTAGCAAGAGAAAAAGTCATCAGAGACCCCAGTTTGCCATAAGGAACTGTTCTGCAGTTGGAGGAACGCCTGCAAATAAGTGTATTTATATGCCGGGCAGTATTGCTGGAGCAGGACCTGGCTGTCAAAATTTTGCCTCATTTATGTTTTTTCTGTCTCTTTCACATTTCTCCTTGCTGGGGTGGGGGCAACCCTGCCTGGCTGCCGCCCTGCCAGAGGGACAGTGTTGGGGGAGAAGGAGCCTGGGCTGGTGTCTGCTCGCTGTTGGAACTAGTTGGTAGGTGGTGCCTGGGTGTTAGTTGTTATGGAGAGCAGAAGACGACTTGAGTTGGCAACAGTTAACACTAGCAATTTAACAGAAAATAAAAGATGCCGTATTGTTTCCTTGATAACTAGGATCTACCACAGACTCTTGGTAGAGCTGGCAAAGCTTGCATTGTGTGTCTCATCCCTTCAATATGG